CTCGATCCCAGGACCCTGGGGTCATAACCTGAGCCGAAGGCAGACGCCTAACGACTGAGCCACCCAGGCGTCCCTGCAATTTATTTTATAAAAATGGTAAAGGGGCGCCTGGGTGGCTCAGATGGTTAAGCGTCTGCCTTCGGCTCAGGTCATGATCCCAGGGTCCTGGGATCGAGCCCCACGTCAGGCTCCTGGCTCAGCAGGGAGCCTGCTTCTCCCTCTCCCTCTGCCTCTCTCCCTGCTCATGCTTTCTCTTCTCTATCTCTGTGTCTCAAATGAATAAATAAAGTCCTTAAAAAAAATGGTAAAAACAATTCCAGTGACTGGAAGTGAAATTGCCTATATATTAATTTTATTTATTTATTTGACAGAGAGAGAGACAGCAAGAGAGGGAACACAAGCAGAGGGAGTGGGAGATGGAGAAGCAGGCTTCCCGCAGAGCAGGGAGCCCAATGTGGGGCTCGATCGCAGGACCCCAGGACCCTAATGGCTGAGCCACCCAGGCGCCACTTGATTTTTTTTTTTTTAAAGGGAGATGCAAAATTATGTATATAGTACAGGCTCAGACAGGTTAGGAAGAAAATATGCAGTGGAAACCGGAAGAAAACATGTGACAAAGTAGCCTCTGGGTAGTGAGATCATAGGCATGTTTTCTATTTTTTCTGCTATGTATACTCTCCTCTACTTTCTAAGTTTTCTCTGAGGTACCAGGGTGTGTACTGGTAGGGATGGGAGGAGGGAGAAGGGAAAAAAGTTAGCCTGTCATTGAAAGATGCATAATATGTGTCCCATATGTGACCAACAAGCTGTCCCATTCATAGGATTCATTATGCATTCTGAAGAAACATCCAGGACAATCATTAATGTTGGACCTGAACATAGTATCTGGCTTTGTTAGTAGACACTTTAAGGCCCAGCCATGTCAAGGAAACCCTACCCTCCCATCACGAACCATTCCACTTTTTTTTTTTTTTGGAAAGATTTTTGTTTTTAAGTAACTACCACACCCCACGTGAGGCTCAAACTCACAACCCTGAGATCAAGAGTTGCATGCTCTACTGAATGAGTCAGCCGGGTGCCCCACAAACCAACTTCTGGAGGACAAATGGGTGTGACAATGCAGGCTATGCCTCAGCCCCTACTCCCATGGCCATCAGCCCTGGCATGAAATAAGAGGGGTGGGCTGCGGGTGCAGACGGACCCTTGTTCCTCATCCTGGCTCCTTCATTTGAGCAAATTATTTCCAAACCTTACTTTACCATCTATAAAATGGGTCTGATCTCTTGGCAGGACTGTTTTAAGGGGGAAATGAGGTACTATTTGCAGCTTGCTGAGCAACAGGCCTAGAGCCTCAAAGACGCTCAGCAGCAGCTCATTCCCTCCCCTTTTCACCCTTTACATAGGACTCCTTCCCCCTGACCTCTGGGGCTTTGCAGCGTGTGGGACAATCTGTCACCTTGATCTTGAGGCTGTCCCTGAAGTTGGTCATGAGTGCGTGGTCCTTCTGTCTGCTCTCGTTGATGTTTTCAATCAGCTCCTGAGCCCTCTTCTTCAGATTGTCGATGCTTGACTCCAGAGAGGAAAAGTAGGATCCTGACTTCCCTTCTAGCATCATCAGCTGGCGGTTGGCACTGGAGGTGGCGATAGAGGGGCTAGAAACCTGACTTCTGAAAGTACAGGAAACTGAGGTCAACAGCAAACTCTCCCAAGAGTGCTGATCTGAATTAGCTCTATGGTGGGAGGGGAACCAGTGTGGTGTGTCTCCTGTAGGCGACGCTTGCTTATTTCATTCACACACTGCCCTGAGAAGGCAGGGACAGCATCTCCATTTTATAACTGAGGAAACAGACCCAGAGGTACAGACAAAATCCACCTAAAGTTCCAGAACAGAGGTATCTGCTGGACTCCAAAGCCCACTATCATGTTATTACACCAACTTGTTGCTTTGAAATGAGTGTCAGTTATACTGTTTATAGTATATCAACAACTATAGATTGGGGCAAAGATTACGTTAAGTGTAGAGCCTACTTTAAATAAAATATTTAAAAACAAAGAAGTGGAAATTGTGGGTAATGCAATGTGAATGAAACTTATGCAAAAAAAAGTTGTACTCTTATTAGCAGACCCCTTGGTGTTTTAAATTAAGATAAAATGTTTAAGGTACATCTTCCTTCCTCCCTCCCTTCTTTCTTTTTTTTTTTTTTTGTTCTGTATCTCTGCTTTATTTGATCTGTAAGCACTGTCTGTCAGGCACGGTGCTAAGCTGCACACCTTGTCTCGCTGCATCCTCATGACCATGCTTTGGGGTTGGTCCACTCAATCATCTTTACCTACCTCGTAGCTGAGAACGCAGAGTTGGTGTGTCACTCTCCCAGGGTCACTGGCCAATGTGTGATAGAGCTGGGTGTGGCACCCAGCTGGCCTGACTCCCCAGCCCATGTTCTGCTGCCCTGGGTCCTCAGTTTCTTTGCCCTCTGAGGTCCTTCTAGCTCTTAATGGCTGCGACTCAGAGGTGCCAACAGAACAGTTCCTGTATATACCAGTTCACAAGCAACCATAAAGTTGGCCAAGACCACAAGCCAGGCACTGATTACTCAGAAAATTACATCTTGATTTTTGGATGCTTTCTCCATAAAACTATTTTTCTTGGTGGTTTTCTGACTGCCTAAGCTCTTCCTTTTGGCTCAGGATACAAGCACAGTAAAACCCCTGAGCACAAGAGCCTGGGTGGCCAGAGTTTTTGCCTGCATGAAAGTTCTCAGGCCCAAGACTTCAGCTGTGTCCTGGCCCTTGAGTACTCCTTGCCAGATCGCTTCCTGCCTCTGTGGCTCTGTGCTTGCTCTCTGACTTGACCTGTGAGACCAAGCCCACACCAATGCCTCCCTTGAGAAGCTGTCCATGACCCTGTGCCTGTCTCTATCACTGCATGTGCTTGTCACAGCTTCTATCCCTATCTCCCCAGAAGGCTGTGTCCTGTTTATCTCTGAATTCCCAGCACTCACCACATAGTAAATCTTCCATTGTTTGTTGAATGAATGAAGAAGGATGCCTTCCATCTGATCTATTCCGCCCTCCTCTGGCCTCATACAAAGCATGCAAGTTCATCAGCCTCCAAGGCAAGATACGTGTGTGTGTGTGTGTGTGTGTGTGTGTGTGTGTGTGTGTGTGTGTGGTCAATGCATTTATCAAGACGGGAAAGTGTGTCTCTGAGGCAGATAATCTATAGCAAAGACTTACGTCAGCTAGAAAACAATAGACAAACTAAAGCCTTCCTGAGCATTCAGGACAAAGGTTCACTAAGGAGTTTATGGCCTCCTAGCTTGCGATTACTACTTTCCTACAGGGAAGTGAGGCAGAAGGAGATTAATTCAGATCTGGGACATGTATTTTATTTTTTTTCCTTTTTTTATGATTTTATTTTTAAGTAATCTCTACACCTGACTTGGGGCTCGAACTCACAACCTCGAGACCAAGAATCCCATGCTCTACTGACTGAGCCAGCCAGGCCCCCTCACTCCACACACTGACAGTTTAACATTCAGACTTCTGTAACATTTGGATGCATGTGAAAAAACACAAAGTGGATGGCTCTTGAAAAGACAGCCATGCTTTGCATGACGATAATGGAATTGTGGACATGGGTTCAAGAAAACCTGGTGTTTGACTTCCTTGAGACCTCAGCACTGACTGCCCTCCTGTTCAGCCTAAACCAGTGGGCCTATCACTACAGTCTTCAGCTGGGGGTCTCAGCCCGCTTCCCTTCACCCCTGTGTCACACCCACACCAAAACCCCACCCTGGCTCTCCATAACCAAGCGTTATATCTTTTCTCAAACTTAGGAACGTGAACGACACTGGAGGAAATAATGATCCTGTGAACAGGGTCACTGCAGGGTCTAGCTCTCTAGCCTCTGGGGGGTCCTCAAGGTCACTGGGCATCCTGTCTGTGCTCTGGTCACCTCCTTCTCTCATTCTTACCAGCCATTCCAAACCTTCATAATTCTGTCCCTGACCGCACACTTGCCTCCCCTCACCCTGAGGAGATACAGAAATAGTGCAAGCCAGTAACTTCCTCCACTGCCCCCCCAACAAATGGATCCACAACCACCCTTCCTCTTTCCAAACTCCCTGTTTGGCAGGCAGGAAAAGGGTCCCATGCCTCTGGGGGGCTCCCAATCCCATTCCCCTCTGTACCTCACCCTCTTCTTGTACCTTTGACCTCTCCCTTAGGCTGACCCATTCCGGGACATGTCATCCCCAGTCGTACGTTTCAAACCAGCACACACATAGACACCCCTCCCCTCGGACACCAGGTCCCCCTCAGCCAGCCTCCTCCCTCTTTCCTCCCCTTCACAGCCATGTAGCTCTTCTAGAAAGAGCTGCTGGCACTTTCTGAGCACATTTTCTCACCTCTCACTCTCTGCCCACTGGTTCCTACCCCAGTTCTCAAATGAAGCGTCTCCTGCCAAGGTCCCCAGTTGCACCTGGCAGACCGTAATTCCCTTGACCTACTGGCTGCAGCTGGTGCTACTGACCACCCTTCCCTGCCGTTCCCAACAGGTCGGCTCTGTTGCTTGGCCTCGCTCTCTTCTCTTCACACCATTGTTCACCCCATCGTTCACACCCTTGCTCTGAAGCCAGGACCCCCAAACCTCTTCCCTACTGGCCTTTCCTGCAAACCCCCACCCACCACCTCACAATGTATAACCTGTCATTCCCCTAAGGCACCCTTGTAGCCAGTCCTTTTTCCTGCCGATATCCTGCCTCTTCTAGAAAGTCTTCCCTGGCTGAGTTACATGCACACAGCACCTACAGCGTAAGGGCCTGCACCTCAGCCTCCCCATGTAGTCTCTGGGAGGACTGGGCCATGTGTCACTCATCTTCATGTCCATAATACCTACGCCTCATGATAGGAGTAATAAAGGGGCATGGAATAAATGAATGAATGACTAGCAAGGACTTTCAATACCATCCACCTTCCACAACCCCCAAGTTCATCCTCTGCCCACACCTGTCTCCTGAGCTCCCAACAATGTATCTGACTGCCTCCAGGCCCTCTCCACTTGGCTGTCCCAGAGGCATCTCAAACTCCAAATGGGCATACCGACATCGCCATACTCCTTCCCCTTCTATGAATGACACCAAAAGCCACCTGGTTCCCATGCCAGAAACTTAACAGTCAGCCTGGAGTCCAGCTTCTCTCTGTCCTCCACATCCTGTCAGAAAATCCTCCCTTCCACCCCCTTAATCTCTCCCAAACCTATCATCTTCTCTCTACCTAATCATTTGCAACTCCACACCTATCATTTCTCACCTGGTCTCTAGGGACCTTCGAAACTGCAATCTGATGTCCTACTGCTTGACAGCCTGAGAGCCCCACCTGCCACAGGATCAAGTAAATTCCCTCGCCCAGCACACAAGGCCTTCCAGGGCCCTGGCTGCCACCTTCCCTTTCCACCCTCCACTCTGAGCAGTTTGGAACATTTCACATCACCAAACTCATCAGCCATTGCCTGAAATGACTTTCCCTTCCTGCAACTTCACCATTTGGAGTTTCTGCTAGTGCACCCCCACAGCACCTCCACTTACTAATCACAACACTGCCACGGTTTACACACATTGGTTCCTTCCAGGACACTGCACGCTTAGGGTGGGGACGGCATTCTATGCATCCCAAAGGCGCACAGATATTCACTGAATATGTAAAGGAATGAACATCTTCCAGAGCCATGCATAACATTTCCACTCACAAACCTCCTTGTACCCACAGTTGCTTTGTCCCAACTGTGCAAGGATCTGAATTTAAAATCAATGATAAAAACAGGTGCTTCTTTTTTATGCAATTGCTAACAACCTGCTTGTGCTGCTAACAGTTCAAAGTCGCTCCTTCCTCAGGCTCCAGGGATGAGGATGGAATGGTTTTCATGGCAGCTACGAAAATGGTGAAAAATCACTTGAATTCATCTCATTCAAATTTTGTTGTGGTACAAGAGCCTGCATCAGATGTCTGCAGAGAGCTTCTTGATTTTTTCCAACCTCTCCTTTGGGGATTTCTTTCTTTCCATTTCATTTCTCTTAATACTCAGCAGCTGCATATTCATCAGGATGCTAATGAATCATAGGCTTCCCTGGGCCTGCATTCACCAATTAACTTTAATAAACAAAATGCACGATGTCCTCTTCACTGGTTTCCTCCATTCCCAGGCCTGCTTCTGTTGCCCAACCCTGGATGGGGGCCAGCTAATGGAAGTAGGCCCAACAAAGCAGGCTGGGTGTGCATGGCCCCACGGAGGGGTCCGGCAGGGGGGCTTTGGGGTGGGGGCTGTGAACACTTCACCATGCTCATCTATTATAGTCTATCCTTCTAAGGAGTCCCTAATTCAGTTGCGAGGATTAGGACATAGTTTCCGAGCAGGGCCCATGCTGGCAGGGGGCCCGGGTACGGTGAGGAAATGGGTCTAAGTGAAGAGACCATCTGTTCACTCCAGGTAAAGCTGTGATTGGCAGGCGTATGAGCCAGAGCCGCCTGCTGATGGGGCCCTCCCTCCGTGGCCTCTAACAGATAGACAAGTAAACAAGCCGCCAGCCACTCATGACCACCGCAGGCGGCAGTCCCAGGAGGGGAGACAAGCTAATCAAACATTCAAGGAGGAACACAACAGAATCTCTGGTGCTTGGGCGAAATGAGGTTTTGCTGAAGTACAGCCAGGAAGGGGGAAGGGGAAGGTTTGAATCAAAGCTACTGAGCCCGTTCCTCACCCTCTGCTTTTCTTTCCCGAAATGCGTTCATATTTTAATCATGTCGCGGAGTATCTGCTGCTGGATCTATTAATTGGCCCTTGCACTGGTTCTAATCCATCTGTTTTTTTCCGGCCCAAAGCTCTAGTGGAACTCCTTGAAGTCTTTAATATGCAATTGTCTATGTCTCTTTGCCACTTATATCCAGGTCTAAACACCCTATTTGCAGGAAGATGGTATCAAACAAATGACTGCAGTCATTTCCTTCTTTTTTCTGGTCTCCAATTGATAGTACACACCTAGAAACCATTCCACCTTGTAGTCTGCTCTACAACTGAGGAATCTGGAGGTCGGGGGAAGCTGGCTTTATACCTTGAGTCCTCAGGGCCCTGTCCTGAGCCTGGCCTTGTCTCACTCCTTCCCCAGGTGAGCTCATTCACCCCACAGCTGCCACTGAAACGGTGGCTCCCACGGTGCCATCTCCAGCCCCTTGTCCCACCCTGAGTTCCAGGTCAGCAAGTCCAACTATATGCTGGACATGTTCATGTGCGTGTCCCCAGTCACCGCAAGCTCAATAAGGGCAAAATGGAACTCGTGTTCTTGCCTCTGCCACGGAAACCATTACTTGCTGGAAACCAGTCCAAAGGGGGGATAAAGCGGTGTGCTAGTAAACATTTAGCAAGTGGCTCTCCGTGGGGGAGAAAAAAGGCCTAATTTGTAGTGTTTGCCAATTTCCATGGTGCAAACTCCCACTCTAGCCAATTTCAAGCTACCAACATAAAATGGCTAAATGCTATATTGGGAAGAGATGTGTAGAACTGGCTCTTGTGAGCTAGGAGGAGCCCGCTCCAGCACAACACAGCAGGGGTATCCCCGCTGCCAATCACAATGCCTGACACGATGGCGTTTTCCCTGTTTGGTAGCACACTAGCCGGGAGAGATCCTCGGTTCATCCCCTTCCTCATGCCTCACTAAATGATCCCCACCCCCATGAGAGTTTCTCTCTGTCTGCTCTGCTAGATGCTACCCCCACAGGAGCCTCCCACCTGATCTTCCCACATCCACTCATGCCCGCTCCCACCCATTCTCCACAAAGCAGCCAGTGTCTTTTAAAAACAGGAACCAGAACATGGCACTTCTCTGACACAGTGATTTCCCTCCTAGGTATCTACCCAAAAGAAATGAAAATGTATGTCTCTGCCAAAATTCATACAAGGATATTTGCAGCAGCATTACTCACAAGAACCAAAACGCAGAAACAACTCAAATGTCCATCAGCCAATGAATGGCTAAGTAAAACATGGTGCGTTCATAATATAGAATATTATTCAGCCATATAGAGTAATGGAGTTCTGATACATGTTACAGTGTGGATAAATCCTGAAGACCTTATGCTCAGTGAAAGAAGCCAGTCACAAAGGACCACATAAGTGTATGATTCTGCTTATATGAAATGTCCAGCAGAAGCAAATGCATGGAGACAGAAAGTAGTGGTTACCAGGGGCTGGGGAAGAGGCAGACACCATGCAGACACAGGGGATGGTGGTTAGGGGTGCAAGGTTTCTTTTTGGAGCAATGAAATGTTATAAAGTTGACTGTGGTGATGGTTGCACAGCTCTTTGTACTAAAAATAGTTGAATTACACATTTTAGGTTGGTGAATTGTATAGTATGTGAATTATATCTCAAGCTATTACCAAAAAAAGTCCTCTTAATAAAGTCCATAGCTGACAAAAGGCCCTGTGACCTGGCCTCTGCCAAGCCGTCCAGTGCTCCTCTTGCACTCACAACCACACCCAGCCACACGGGCCTGCCTTCAGCTCCCTGAGCCAGAGGGCCTTCCCATAAACTCTTCTCAGCCCCTCCTCCCACCCCCATGGCCACTCAACATCCATTCTCCCTTACCTTTTGATTCAGCATTGCTTCTTCAAGGGCGCTGTCTCTGGCTCCCCATTTGGGGGCTGGCTGCCCCCAGGGGAAACGTTTTCCCAGCACCCCAATCTCTTCTGTGTCGGTACTTAGTATCTGCCTCTCGGTCAGATGGAAGCACTGGGAGGGTATGGGTGTCCCGTGGACTCAGGGTATCCCTCTGCATCCAATCATAATGCTGATATGCTGATCTTATGACTGTTTTGTGAGCACACCAAGCTTATTCATACCTCAGAGACTTCTACTCTGCCTGGCATATCTGGGCCCCCCGATACTTCCTGGCTGCCCTTTGTCATGTAACCTCCTTAGAGCTCTTCTCTAACTACTCTAAACTCCCTATCACTCTAGTTGCTCCACACTGTTTTGTTTCTTCACAGCACTTGCCACCAGTTGAAATCACATTATTTTATTATTATTATTGTCTATCTCTCTTTTTTAGAAAGTCAGCTTGGCAATAGACCCAGAATAGCCAACACAATATTGAAGTAGAAGAACAAAGTTGGAGGACTGATGTTCCTTGACCTCAAGACTGACTATAAAGCTGCAGTGATCCAGATGGTGTGGTACTGGTATAGGAATAGATAACAGATCAATGGAACAGAACAGAGAGCCCAGAAATAGGCCCACACGTATATAGTCAACAGTTCTTTGACAAAAGAGCAAAGAAATTCAATGGAGAAAGGAGTCTTTTCAACAAATGGTGCTGAAATAACTGGACAGCCATGGACAGAAGAATGAGACACAGACCTCATACTTTCACACAAACTAACTCAAAATGTAGCACAGACCTAAATGTCAAACACAAAGCTATCAAACTCCTGGAAGATATCATAGGAAAAAAAATCTAGAGGACCATCTTAGATGTAATATCAACAGAAAACATTGGTAAGTTGGACTTCATTAAAATTAAAAACTTCTGGGCGCCTGGGTGGCTCAGTTGGCTAAGCAACTGCCTTTGGCTCAGGTCATGATCCTGGAGTCCCGGGATCGAGTCCACATCAGGCTCACTGCTCAGCAGGGAGTCTGCTTCTCCCTCTGACCCTCCCCTCTCTCATGTGCTCTCTCTCTCTCTCATTCTCACTGTCTCAGATAAATAAGTAAATAAAATCTTTAAAAAAAAATTAAAAACTTCTGCTCTGCAAAACACTCTCAACAGAATGAAAAGATATGCCACAAGCTGGGAGGAAATCTTTGTGAAACGCATGCCTGATAAAGTACAAGTATTTAAAATATACAAAGAACTCTTAAAAACAATAAGGAAACAAACAACCTGATTAAAGAAGGGGCAAAAAATCTGGACACCTCCCCAGAAAAGACATACAGATGACAAATAGGCATATGAAAAGATGTGTAACTTCATATCTCTCCAGGAAACAGCAAATCAACACAACGAGATACTACTACACACTTGTTAAAATGGTGAAAATCCAAAACACTGATAACATCAAGTGCTGACAAGGATGTGGAGCAACAGGAACTCTCTTTCATTGATGACAGGCACAGCCACTTTGGAAGACAGTTTGGCAGTTTCTTACAAAACTGCATATATTCTTATCATATGATCAAGCCATGGCGCTCCTCGGTATTTATCCAAAGGAACTGAAAACTTGAGTCTGCACAAAGACCTGCACATGAATGTTTATAGCAGCTTTATTCAGAATTGCCAAAACCTGGAAGCAACCAAGACGTCCTGCAGTAGGTGAGTGGATAAACAAACTGTGGGACATCCAGACAATGGAATATTATTCAGCACTAAAAAGAAATGAGCTATCAAGCCATGAAAAGATACAGAGGAACCTTAAGCGCATACTGCTAAGTGAAAGAAAGAAAGCTCCAAGAGAGCAGAAATTCTGATTTGTTCACTGCTGCATGCTCATCATCATTGTCTGGCCAAAGCAGACCCTCAAGAAATATATGGTGAATAAATAAATGTACAAGACAAAAACTTTTTTTGTCATCCTTGATGCTGCTCTTTCAACTCCAACAACTAATCCATTTTTAGCAACTTCTATCAGTTCTACCTTCTTAAATATACCCAGAATCTGACTTCTCATCACCTCAATAGATCCACCATGGGTGCAGTCATCTTGCACCTAGATGATTCCAATTGCCTCCTCACTAGTCTCCCAGCTTCTAAACTCCTGCCCTCAACAATCTATTCGCTACATGGAAGCCAGAGGGAGGCTTTTAATACCTTAGTCCAGAGGACTTCAAATTTCCATAAAGGGCCAGATAGTAAATCTTTTCAGCTTTGTGGGTTCTGTAGTCTCAGTTGCAAAAACTTGACTCTACAGAAGCAGCCACAGACAAGCGTGGCTACATTCCAATAAAACTTTATTAACAATAGTCCTTGCCATGTCTCTCTATTCCAAACCTTCTCATGGGTAATTAACACCCAAAGTCCCACTACCTGCCTGACTGTATCTCTTACTATCACCCTCTTTGGCTCCTCCAGCACAGTCCTCCTCCCAGACTTTGTAGGTGCTGTTCCTCTGTCTAGAGCATAATTCTGCCTCATGGTTCACTCGTCACCTCCTCCACGAAGGCTTCCCTAACCCTCTGATCCAAACTGGCACTCTCTCCCTATTCCACCCCGGCCCCCACCACCGGCCCCCACACTGCATTAGTGTCTCCTGACTACTATATATTCCCGGGCTTACAGTCTGTCTCCTCCTCTAGAGTGTCAGCTCACTGCTGTGTCCTAGTACTTGGAACCATGCCACGCACATGGCAGATGCCTGACCAGTACGCGGAGCAAATGCACCCACAGCAGACACTGGCAGGGTCTCGTGGAAGAACTGGGTGAACGAGAAGGACCCAGGGGTCTGTGTGGACCCGTCCTGCAGGGTGCTTCCTCACCTAGCCGACCCCCGACCAGCTTCGTCTTCGCGGCTCTCCTCGCACTGCTGCTGTTCCTTGCTCTCCCCCAGCGGCTGCAGCTCCTGGTCCTTGCATTCTACGTGGGGCATGTCCACCTGTGAGCACAGCCAGCGCTTGAGAGGCCAGAGGGGTAAGGGCGAGAAGGGGTCAGATCCCCTCCTACCGCCCCTTTGGCCCCGCGCACCTCCGTGTGCCACCGAAAGGCCGGGGACCCCCAGGAGAGGCGCGCGGGGCTAGGGACGGGCACCACGAGGTCGGGGACGTGCGGTGGGAGGGCCTGCGCCTGGAGCGCTGGAGTACAGAGGCGGGGAGACCTGGAAGGGCTGGGGCGAGGTCAGAGGCGCCGGGAGGGGTGCTGGGCTCCTAACTGGTGTGTGCGGCGGCTCGAGTCCTCCGAGGAAGGAGAAGAGGTAGGCGAAAAAGAAGATAGGAAAAGGGTGCGGCGCATGGATATCGGAGCCTTTGTCTACCCTGCTCCTGCCACGAGCCATGCGTGGGAGTCCGTCCTTCTGGCCCGGGCTGTCAGCGTGTCGGTCACACAGTCCCGTCCGTCAGTCGGGGCCTGGTCAGTCAGTCAGGAAATCGGGACCCGGCCAGGCGATGGGTGGCGCCGATGGCAGGAGACAAGCGGCTGGGTTAGGGTCCACCAGGGAAGCCCGAGATCGCGGCGGTTCCCCGCCCGCCACCCGCCACCCGCCACCCGCCACCCGCCTCGCTAAGGAAAACAAGCGCCGCTTACTCCCTGTCGCTCCATCCTGCCTTTTCCCGCCTTCTCCTTCGAGCACTCTGCGCACGCTCTGGCCCCGCCCTCCGGCTCGCACGGCCCCCGCGCACGTGCTGCATCACGTGCTCCTGGGTCCGCCTCTTTTTGAGAATTTGCTCGCGCAGCGGGTAGGAGTTGGCCGTTAACCGGCGGTTGGGCTGTCCTAGAGGCTGCGCGCGCAGCCGGCGCCGCCCGGAGGAGGGGGTGGACTGTGTGCGTGTGCGTGTGCGTGCCCATGTGGGGGTTTCCCGGGCCAGGCGTGGGTTGGGGGAATCGAGCCGTCTTTGCGTTAATTCTTAGATTTCAGTTCATCTGCGCTGAGCCCCAAGAAGTCCTTGCAATAAAAAATCCTGACCGTTGCTGTTCTTGATTATGACCTGTTGTCTTCAGAGAAAAAACTTATGCAGTATCACCTTGAATCAGTTACTTGTGCGCTCTAAAACTGGTAGCTCCTTAAAAGCATGGCGGGTCTGGCCTTTAGAGTTGGGCCCATATCCCTTACTGATAGTAGTAATAACAATAATGCCTCAATAGTAACAATAATAATTGTCACCTGAGGAAGCACAGACTGGGAGAAGATATTGCTCAACATATATCTGAGAACTTAACAGCCAGCATTTACAAAGAACTCTTACAACTCAATAATAAAACAACCCAACTTAAAAATGGGCAAAAGATTTGAATAGGCGTGTGCCAAAGTCCTGAGGTGGGAGCAAACTTAGTGTGCTTGAGGAGAAGCCAGGCCTGGTGGGGAGAACAGGGAATGGGGGTAGCTGTGGTTGTGAAGGATCAAAGTTGGGCAGGGGCTGGGCTGGGCTGGGGGCCAAAGCAAGAAGTTGGGGTTTTGCTCCAATTCACTGGTCAGTGTCCATGTGGGAGAGGCAGCAGGAATCCTGTGCAGGACTCTGTCGCCCATCACGCAATGACCAGAGCACCCATGTTGACACTACATTCTGGAGAATGTGGTTTGAATCTGGTCTTACCGGCGAGAGGGGCTGGGGGCGGGGCATAACACTGCCACTCGTTCTCAAAATCCATTTTTGCCTGTAACCGAGGCAGTAAAATTTAAAACATCAGACTATTGTAAGGGTTGCAGAGATAAACTTCTAGAACACAGTTTAATAAACAACAGCTAACAGTATCTTGTGGCAAAGCCACAATGTAAACAAAATGTACATTCCTGCAGCATCAGATTTGAAGATTATCTATGAGAAAAATCTCAAGATTCACTGGTAAGCACACGTGCACACACACATGCACACATACACACCGAAAAGCAACAAAAGCAACACACAATATGCAGGACGATTTTTTTTTTTTTTTAATGGTGCAGGGTCTGTGTGACTTCTGAAAATAAGCAAAATCAAACTTGTTAAAGTAAAATATGTAGTAGCAAAAGTTTAAAAACACATGAGAAAGAGAAAACACCACATTCAGGAGGGAGCAATCTCAGTGAGGTGCTGGCAAAAGGAACTAGGACAAGCCCATAGGATCTTCAACCCATTAGTCACAGATCTAAAATGCAGAAGATCCAAAACAAACATAGTCCGTGTTCAGATTTGATCCAACTGGGGATGGATTCCTAAGTGCTTGTTGGGTTAGTTTATGCTATATACATTTAACCTTCCCCACCACCTTCCCTCTTCTGTGGCTTTACCCCTCCCTCCATTTCTGTACTCATCTGTTTATGTCTCCAGTGTACCCCCTTCCCCCCAGGTTCACTCCCAAGGGCAGGGACCTGAGTCACTTTGCCCATTGCTGAGTCTTCAGCTTGCACACTGCTGGCACTCAGGAGGTGCACATTTGTTGGAAGAACGAGTTATTTTTCTGTATGACTGAATTATTTAATTTGAAATACAGAAAAAAAAATTGACCAAGTAGCCCTTGGGAGATCGGTGCCCCCACACCCAGGGCCTAGAGAAGCCCACAGCCTCAACTGCCGACTGTGCTGGCTACAAGAGTGACCTTGTGGTTCTAGAAGAACTGTTTACGTTTCCAAAAGTGTGCTGACCCTGTAGACATGGAGACGGAGGTTTGCTTTAAAATATTTTCACATTAAGAGAGATCCCACTCATGTTCAATGTGGGTTCATGAAGCTCTACCCTACTCTTCTTCCTCTTCTGAGCTCCCATGAAATTCTCAGGAGACCACTTTTTTTTAAAAAAGAGCAGCTTTTTAGGGGGAGGATGGAGGGATGAGTGGGTGGAGCACAAAGGACTTTTAGGGCATTGAAAATACTCTGTGATACCAGAACAATGGTTTCGGTATCATTGAACAACATCATCACCCGTTTGTCAAAACCCAGAGAATGTACAACACAGAGCATGAACCACAATGTAAACCATGAAGTGCAGGCAATTAGGATGTGTCTATGTAGTTCATTCATTCTAAGAAATGCACCCCTCTGGTGGGGATGTTTGTGGTGGGGAGGCTGTGCACGTGTGGGGGCAGAAGGTATATGAGAAATTTCTAGGGGCACCTGGGTGACTCAGTGGGTTAAGCATCTGCCTTTGGCTCAGGTCATGATCCCAGGGTCCTGGGATCGAGCCCCGCATCAGGGTCCCCACAGGTTCAGGCTGTGGGCTTCTCTAGGCCCTGGGTGTGGGGGCACCAATCTCCCAAGGGCTACTGGGTCTATTTTTTTTTCTGCATCTCTCTCACTCCCCCTGCTTGTGTTCCCTCTCTCGCTGTGTCTGTCAAATAAATACATAAAATCTTAAAAAAAAAAAAAAATTTCTGTACTTTCCACTCGATTTTGCTGTGAACCAGAAATTGCTCTTTAAAAAAGGGGGAAGGGGGCAGCTTTAAAGAAACACTTAAAAAAAGTTTTTTTAAAGCTGTCCCCCCTCATCCCCCCGTGCTGTCACCCCACCATGCCTGGCTCCCAGGGGGAATTGTGGCACCTGCCTTGGTCTTCCCCTCCCATATGCCCCTTCCCCAGGGGTGGGGACTTCTGTTCGTCTAGAGGAGAGCCTGGCACCACCAGGTGATCAGTAAATGCTTGATAGAGCTAGTCTTCCCCAAGGGGCTGGTTCAGGCAAGCCAGGAGCTCCTGAGGATCCAGAACCCCTAACCCACCACTCCTCACACCCAGGGCTCTAGCAGTCCTCCATCCCTAAGGAAAGGCACCATATGAGGACAACTGCCCACTTTATTAGCCAGCAGCTGGCCTGCAGGACTCCCTTAGGCCCACCTTCATAGATCGAACCTGCTACTTGCTCCCCTGCCCCTGGGACCTTGGTGGCAGGTAGGGAAGAGGAGATACGAGGGGTGAAGGTGAGGGGGATGGCCTCACAGAGGCCTTATAAATACAAGGGGGTCACTGGCAGGGATGTTAGAGGGCTGGACAGCTGGGGCTCAGGGAAGGCAGGCTATCCAGGGTGGTCCATATTACGCGGCGCCCTGTGTCTGTGGGGGCCCCGGTTCAGCGTCCAGGCGGCACAGAGGACCGTCATACACCATCTGCAGGTTCACCTTGTGGCCCACCAGCTCCCGGATGTTGTTGATGCCGTATTTGATCATTGTTGGGCTTGCGGGGGGGAGGGAGGAAACCAGTTTTAACGCTATGTCAGGTCGTGCTCTCCTCTGATCAGGCCCTCTCTGATGCTTCCCACCTCCTTAAAAGCCCAGGTTGTTCCCGGGGCTCACCAGGTCCCGAGTGATCTGCCCTGTCACTTCCCCACCCTCATCTCCTCCCACTCTACCTACTCCCCCTCTCCAGCCACACTGGCCTCCTCCATGTTCTCCAAATACATCACACACATGCCTGCCTCTGGGTCTTTGCGCTGGCTGTTCCTGCTGCCTAGACCACCCTTCCCCAGATGTGCCCCCAGCTTACCCTATCACCCGCCTCCGGTCTTTGCTCGGATACTACCTCCTCCTTGAAGCCTTCCCTGACAACCCTGTCTCCTCAGCCCTCCCTACTGGGTTCTCTCTATCGCATTTGCTAGCTGCAGACACACTCTGAACTTCATTTGTTCCATTTACTGATTTATCTTGCGAACTGCCGTCTTTCTCACTACACTACGAGCCCGGCTTTGCAGAGGCAGGGATGTGTGCTGTCCTACTCTTAGCACAGGACCGAGCACGTAGCAGACGCTCGCTAAAGGCTTGTCGAATGAAGAACAGACGGATGGGGCTGAAGGTCTGCAGGCCCCCACGCCCAGCAAGTCACCTGTGTGACAGCCAGACACCCTAAGTGGCTTAGGCACTCACCGCTCCAGGGAGAGGCCCCAAGCAATGACTGACACGTTTTCGGGGAGCCCCATGGGCAGCAGCATCTCAGGGCGGAAAAGCCCAGAATTTCCGACTTCCACCCACTTCTTCAGGCCTATAGGGGTGGGAGAAGGATAGGGCAGGTTGTGTGGATGACCCCGGGTCTGGCAGTGACCTTGGGGGTGGGCTTGGCAGTGACAGGGACCCGGGCTTAGCTGTGGGCAGCCTGAGACATCCCTCCCCATCCCAGTGCCAGGTTCCACCCTGACCTTGGTGGTAGCTGAACACCTCCATGCTGGGCTCCGTGTAGGGGTTGTAGGCCGGCTTGAAGCGCAGCTGGGTGATACCTGGGCAGGGGAGGCGGGTGAGCAGAGGTGGAGGATAAGCCTGGAGGCACGGCATCCTCCCATGGCTCCGCTAGCACCTCCCACCGCAGCCTGCCTGCCTACCCAGCTTGGTGAAGAATTCCCGCAGGATGCCCATGAGGTGGCCAAGGGTGAGGCCATGGTCAGCCACCACGCCCTCAATCTGGTGAAACTCGGCCAGGTGTGTGGCGTCTAGGGTCTCGTTTCGGAACACGCGATCGATGGAGAAGTACTTGGCTGGCGTGAAAGGCTTCTGGGGGTGACAGGCAGGCCAGGCCCGGGAGGAGGTCAGAAGGTCAGCAGGACAGCCCCCTGCCTCCCCCACTGCCTGGGCTGAGCTGCACCTTCTGGGCCAAGCGGTAGAGGGCACGGGCGCTGGCTGACGTGGTGTGCGTGCGCAGCAGGTTCTTCCGGGCCTCCTCCAGCTTCCACGCGTACTT